AGAGGCTGGAAGTATGGGTGTAAGGTTTGTAACGAATGCAACCATCATTCGCATCTATATTGCAAAACATGCAAAAAAGTAGCAGAGGGAATATATAAGCGATGTGAATGTAAAAATTCTCAAATAATTAACGTTAAAATCTGAGTTAGTGATAATGATACCTAATTTAATTAAACAAAACTTATCGTTATCACAATTTGTCCATGTTCATTAGTGTAATAATTCCGCATATAAAATTTATTTGTATCACCTTACAAGGCTTATCGTTATGCATAACTAATTTGTGAGACGGGGCACAAGTAGAAATTGACATATTTCATTTTTCTGGAATTAGTACCCTAACCAAAATTACTTAACCATAGTGAAGTTTTCTTGCATAACTTAATATTTTATATGGCCCGACATAGAGGTTGAGAATCTCGTAATTAGCAAAAAAGTTAGATATAGAAATTTATAAAAAGTCTGAGCAAAAAAATAACTTTATGCTAGGACTCGTCTAGGATCCGCGTGCTTCCTCTCTCTTTGATAGTATCATTCATTTCATTTACTTTATTTGCTTCCTTTATTATTTTCCGATTAGTTATGTATCTGAAAAATTGAGAATTTGTTCAGAAAATATTACTGCAGAACGCGCACGTAACTAAAATTTCATCATTACGTAATATAATAATTAGGAACGCGTAATTTTTTGATTTCAAAATGCGAGTGACCAAAATTTGAACATATTGATTAGCTGTTCTCTTTTTAGGAGTTTGTATTACTGGTACAAATTACTGAAATACCCGATGTGTTATATACAGTACCATCAATTTGTTTACTCTCTTCCTAGTATGAGCCAACAAAAGAAAAAACCATATGGATTCGATAGCAAGTACATGTTTTCTGAAACAGATGTGTTTTTTACATTTACTCATCGATACAATACCGAATTTTCAGTCCTTGAGTCGTACTTTCTGTAGACATTGGAACAAGAAATTGTTCTGCACTTTTCTGAGTTTGTTCGCCTAAACATTGATTCAATAGCTAGGCTTTCAAAAACAAATAACTGTGTAGAACTGCATCACACGTGGAAAAAACGTTTTATTTTGGCTGCAGAAATTATAAAAATCAAGAGAGGTACTAACTTCTTTCTGATTTTAGGGAGCTCACGTCTCGTTTCGTCCCAGATTGTGAGTATGAGTATCATCCTCACTCTAGTGATGGTGTTGGAACTTGCGTCTCATTTTGTCCCAGACTGCAAGCATGAGTGTCGTCCTCATTCTACGCTGTTGCGAATTTTCTGCTTTGATAAATTAGTCATAGGAGAAAATTATAAAAAATTTCAAACTACGAAACTATAATAACAATTTTCTAAACTATTAAAATATAGATGGTTGAAGACCAACATGATTGGTCTTGTATCATCGAAAAAATTCATAGGGTATGTTACAAATCTTATGGACTAGTTCCTTTAATCAATTTTGTAGCGGTTTAATATATAACAGATCCAAATTTCTGAAAGTCGCCATGAAAAAACCTACATTATATATTCAAATAAAAATGATTATATTGAAAATGTATTGTTGGAAGACCAGAAAAAATCAAAACTTGACACCAATAACTCAGTTAATACAAAAACTATACCTATCTCTCGACTTACGAAGCGGTTTCTAGATGTTGCAAAAAAGAGCTCTCCAAAATGGTTAGCAAATGTTAGTAGAACACATTTATCAATCAATGATTTTTTTGTTTATTGACCGTAAAGACTCTGACATTATTCTACATCCAAAAAGGGTCCAAGTATTGCTAATGTAGAAATATCAAATAACGAACAAGATTTATCTAATGAATTAGATAGCAATCTATATATCAATTCAAGTTATAAAAGTGATAATTCAGAACATGATAGATTCATATCTTCAACTCCATGCGCTCTCGAAGACCCTTTCGCTGATGAAAAGATTATTATTATTAATGTTTCTTCACACATACCATCATTAAATTCTGATTTAGATATTTTCTTAGACAATATTAATATATCGGCTAAATTTAAACAATATATTAATAAAGCCATATCATATACTAACGATAAAGGACTGTATGTTGAAACGAATACCCACGAAATATTATCATTATCATCAATCCTTGTTCTCATACTGAACTCTTATCCTACTAAAATGGTGGAGGCGTTCAGTTTAGATGTACCAGAATCGATTCACAGAAGATATATGCCAAAATTATCTCTACAATTAGATATAAAGGTTGAGAATATATATAGAAAAGTGATCAAAACATGTTTAAATAATTCTCGTGATAATAGCATCAAACTGCTATATGCAAATATCGTATAAAAAGATGAATTGATAGATAATTTCAAGTTCTTGATACTAGATTTAATAAGAACTCTGCCATACAATAAGATAAGAAATGAACCAAGCAAATTAACATTAATAATGAACTATTAAGACAATGTCATGAAAAATGTTTTCCATGTCCCTGACAAACATATAGTTCGACGGCCAAACACGACCTTAACAGAAAGCAAAGTAAGGAAATTCGATGGGTTAAGGACGAACAGCTAGATTTTGTTGTTTCAGTCAACTATCAGTCACGGGCAACAAATGTGATCTTTGTTGGTGAGGTAACTAGACCAACTGAGAAAAATAATGTATACAAAAATTGCCTTGACTTAATCAGGATTGGAGTTTTCATGAAAAACTGTATTGACTCGGCAATTTCTCAAGGAGTAGATATCAAGATATTGGGGTTTCAATGCATCGCATATAAAATAGATTTTTATATACTAGATATAAATGGGGAAGGACTTTACATGATGAATCATATTGTGCAGATATCAGTACCTGCAACTATAAAGGACATATGTAGCTTTATAGATGAACTTTATATTTTATTAAACCTACGGAGTATCTTATATGAGTCTTATAATGCTTTTGTTGATAAACTTAAAAATCCAAGATTAGCTCCCCTAGAACTTAAATCATCCTTCAAAAAACTAACACTAGACACTCCTGAGTTTAACAAACTTGTTAGCAAAACTCATTGCATCAAAAGAGAGAGTCCATTTTGGTTTGGACGATACAAGTATGTATTTTCTTTTCAAAATAACTTGAAATTTACGATACTAATTCTTATTGCAATTGTAGATGATAATAATTTACTATCTGGTTCTCTTAAAAATTAGATGTACTAAATTTCTTAAGCTGTAGATTGATGGATATGGCTAAATAAATTCAATAGAAACACAGAATTTTATTTCATATTAACGTGCTTATTTTCTACATGTATCAATCTAATTGATTAAGTTTATAATGCCCAGACAATCAATTTTTCTTGCTAATTACAATTAGGTCTTGGGTATAAGTCAAGTTGCGAATTAATGCATGAGATATTAAATAAAATACCTATTGCCATTTTCCTATATATTATTTCTATTAATAAATATTAATAAAGTTTTGGGTTTATCTCCTTTTAACATATATGCCTATATGCGTGTAGTGTGAGGTGTGATGTATCAGAATAAAATTGTCATGATAGTTAAATATGTATGCTTGCTCTAATAAATTTAAATGAATTTGTAGTCCTAATTGTTCTCCCTTCGCTTAAATGTGATTGCTATTTATAAAACATTATTTTTGTATCAAGATATATCGGAATTGTACATGTCGATATCCGCATAATTTTGGCATTTTTTTGACGAACATTGTTCGCTGAAATTTCATCACATGACTTTGTTTTGGTTCTCTCAAAAAAATATCTTATAAAATAATTCTAATTAAAATTAAAAAGCATTAGAATAGTAAAAAACATTTTCAACACTTCGT